CAAGAGTATAGGTATCGAATATATATATATATATATATATATATATATTTATTTATTTCTATGTATACAAATATGTATACTTACTGCTGTTCATTCTAGAGATCTAATGCCCGTAAATGTTGGCATGTTTATATATCATGTCATTGTCGTGATGACTTCTTTTATCAAAGGCTTGTTATATTGTCACTTTTTTTTGTTTGTACGGTGCAATTTCTTTCCTCTAAAACCATCACGAAATTCATTTAACACTATCATTTATTAAAGCTTGCTTTATAGATACGTCCTAGTTATCAACGGTCATGATCTTTTAAATGATGCCGTTTTGTATTTGTTTCAATCTCTCCATGATGGAGCGTATTCGTACTTGTTTAATTATATATATATATATCACTCACCTTAGTTTTGAGCAAGTCTCTAAATAGAGGGTTTGCAAATTTTTTGCATCTGCCACGCAGGGAGACTAGGGGGCTCGAGTGGAAAAACCCGCAGGTCAGAAACTTCCCCATCGAAAGTTGTTTAACCTCTAGATAGTATGTACTGTTAGGTTTTTCCCATTGTGTGGAAAAGGTACTGCTGATAATAATTTAAAGGGTTTGGGGTGAGACATTATTAATCGTGACCCTTTTCCATCATTTTTTCTTTCGTGGAGAGGGTGTTATAAAAAAGTCTTAAGCAGCGCATTCTCTTTGCTTTTTCTGTTGTAGTGCTTTATATACTCGCTTCTTTTTGAATTCCCCCGCCCTAATCTTTTCCCACATGTACTTGGCTGTACTGCTCTGGTAAATTTTTCCGTTTTAATTTTGGTAGGTTGTTTAGTGGCTACTTTTTCAGTTCCCATTACATTTTTTACTCATGTTCTTCCTTTGGTAGTGTCAGTATCATTTCATTTTTTTTGCTGATTTGATTTTCGTATCCTTTTCCTTTATTCTTCAAGCCAAACGATTTATCGGTTAATCAATACATTGATAAACATTCATTAACTTGCGTCAGATTTTGCTACAGCTATTTTTTATATATTTTGAAATCTTGAAAGTGACGGGGGAAATCGAATCTTTATATTCTGCACTAACTGGATGAACGTTCGCAAACTAAGTACTCACTTATGTGCGTATGTGCTTCATTGCATCATTGCTTTCCTTAACGATATTAACATTGAATTTTATCCGAAGAGAATAACTTAACGTTCCTATTCATTCAAGTCCTTATTCAGGGTATAAGACAATTGCTTTTCTCATTTCCATTTATTTATATCGTTGATCATAAATAAGGGGAAATAGAATATCGAATTAAACGCCTAGTGGTATGCTTTATGGAGGCAATCATGTGAAAATAGTATAATTTTACTTTTTATTTTTTATCATCGAAATTCGGAGCAAAAAAAAGTGAGAATACCATCCATGCAACTGCAAATTAGATTTAAGTGTATTTAATACCTTGCAAAGAAAAAAAGAAAGCAATCAAGTAATCTGCGCACAAGCTTGTCATAAAAATCTTTTTCAGCACGTGCTTTGCCACATTTACGTTCTCATGATTTTGTACGTGAGAATGCATGCGGACATCTTTCACTGTATTTTCTCATCTTCTTTTTCGTACTTTTTTCCTTATCTTCACTCATTGAAGATTAGCCTTGCTACGAATATTTAAATTTAACAATAAATACTTTTTGTTAAATAAGCGTGATACATATTTAAGTCAATATTAGACTTATGTGCGTAGAAATAAATGTGTTTGCTTATTTAACGGGGGTGTAAAAGCGGTTTGTATGGAAATTCTATTTCCCAAATTCGTCTGTACCCTCTCTGCGCCACACCATTTCCTTTTATATACCTATCTGATGCCCCTTTCGTTGTAACCCATGAGGTACTTTTTACTTACCCCTCCTTCCCTTTTATTTCTCCTCCCCTACGAGCATTACCAAATCTCTCTCTCTTTTTCTATACACACACATATATATATATATATATATATAGCACATATTCACAACTGGTTTATCTACGTCCGTTCTCTCATTCTCTTTCTCCCATCTCGAACCCACACCGAATCGGTAAAACCCCCACAAAACCCCATGTCCGCTCCCCGCCCACGCGCTACCACGGCCGTCAACGAGGACGCCGTCTCCGGCTACGTTGCCTCCTGCGTTAACTTCCGTACCAGCCTCCGCTACGTCGACGTGGCCACCCCCGCCTCCGCCGCCCCGCTCGCCCCCCACCTCCTCCTCCTCGGCACCCCTGCCCAGCTCACCGGGGACTTCGTCCGTGGGCTGCCGTTCTACAGCCCCGTCGTCGCGGCGGCCGTCGCGCGCGCGCAGCCCGGGGCCCCTGTCACCCTCTTCCTCCCAGACACCCCGACGGCGTCGTC